ATCTCTCCCAGGAACGGGCATGCTCCGGCTTCCTCAAGTTTTCTGCACTGCAAGACGTGCCCATGGCCACCTGCACACATCAGCAAGTAAATGACACCTGATTTCCTCCTCCTACACTCAAGGACTGAAGCAGAAATCGAGGACTGCACTTGACAGAGGATGAAACCAATCTGGAAAGAAAAACGCCTCGGTGCTAACATACTCGCTGCAGGGGAGGTAATCCCATGCACTGCAAACAGACGTGGCTGAGGCTTTGCAGCATCCTCCGGAACCGTCTCGCCATTTCCTTAGCCTGTAGGTTGCCAGGTTTTGAGTCACGATTCCCTCTTTCTGCACACACGGAAGAAGTTTGCCTTCTCATGGCCGTAGCCTGCCTGCCTCCAGCTGCCTTGCCAGACACAAACAGAAGGTAAACAGGCAGATGGGCTCACAGATTAAACTTCAAAACCAGTTAGAAGACTTATCCCGGCAGATGAATTCAAGCCAGATGCAATCCTGAGGCAGGATTCGGCTCAGAAGAGACAACAGATGAAGTGCCACCTTCATCGTTCAGAGGACGTCGAGCACAGCTTTCACAGCTGGAACTGGAGAGCTGGCCAGCGCTGCAGCCTAAGCCAGACGAGCAGACCGAGCGCGCAACCAGCCGGCTGCACGGGCCACCTCTGCCCACCCAGCGCCGCAGCTTCAGAACAGATTCACGCTTCCAGTATCCTAGCTGCAAGCGGACTGGTGCTCATCAGGTTTGCGAGCAAGACGAGGCGAGCTGCCGCTGAGCTGGAGATTTGGCTGTATAACCACACGCAGGAAAGCAACGCTGGTCTAACTGCAAAATGTAGCATCAAAAACCAATGGACACATTTGAGCACACGTGCATTTTTCTTTAGAAAATTATTCGTTTTCATGGATTTAGAATGGCTACATGATAGACTTTTGCTCACACGATGCCTGCGTTAGCACGGCAGTAGCTCGGAAGGCTTCCTCACGCGTGAGCTGTTTTCTCTCCCAGGATGAAGCTGTTCCAGACTCCAGCCCCGTCAGGATGCGTGCTGGCTGCACCTCCCGGCTGCACGTAACAGCTCAGACCACAGCTGGGTTCGATGGAAAAGCAGAAAGGTGAGCACAGAACTGTGAAATCCATGGTCGTGTTTCACGTAGGCAAAGCCAAGGAGACAATATAAAAATCGGCAAAAAAATTACAGGTATTGTTTAGGATATGACTTGATGCTCAGAAAAATCTTCCTTGAAAACTAGTAGTAGGAACAGAGAGGTAGGACATCTTCCCCTGGGAGATAAAAGCGTTATGGAGACCTGCAGAGCCCAGGAGCTGAAGGGTTTGTGCTACTCTGCCAGAGCACTGATCCCGCAGTAAAGCCTCCCCTTCCAGTTGTTCTCCTGAGGGGGAAGCAGGATCCTCCACGGGATCTTCTCTTTGCATCTTCCGCACACCTGCCAGAACGATGGGCTCTTCTGCGGACAGAGCCCGGAGTCACAGCTCCCAGCTCGCTCCCAGAGGGCTCTGACTGCGGAGCCCGAGGCACCTTGCAGTGGGAGGCTGCGACAGAAAGCTGGTGTCATTACACCCTCTCCTCCCCTCCTCTTCCATTAAAACGTGACCCTGCTAGAAATAAACATTGCTGCAAGTTGCGAACTGGTCAGAGGGAAAGAAAAAGCAGAAATACTTAAAAATTTAAAGTAGTTGTTGCTGCTGTCACTAGACACCTCTTTTGCCAGGAGCTGGAGGTGACAGCCAGCCTGCCAGAGCCACTTCCCCGCCGGAGCGCAGGTACGCGGGAACGGGAAGAACCAGGGCTAATGCAGCCATCTTTTGAGTCAAACTCTCATCTCTTCTTTATTTCCAGCGTTCGTGCCATGCACAGTTTGCAACACTAACAGAGCAGCACTCAGACCATCAGCTTTTTTCAACAGCTTCTGGAGGCCATGCTATAAGAACAGTTATGAACTCCGAGACTCTTGTTTTCAGACAGCATGCAAAAACCCCAGGCCCTGGCGGTGGTGTACACGTTCGAACAGACACGCAAGAAGCGTTGTGTAAAATTATAAATGGACAAGCACTGGTCAATTTACAACAGGATCCAAAAAGTCCTGCCCTTACAGGGAAGTGAACTAGCAAGCCCCGAAGTCTTCCACTGGCCTAGATATATAACCTAATCCAGATGGATTTACATAGTTCTGGAATGAATGTGTATGAAACCTGAAAATTCACAATTTTTTTATGATTTAAAACCAGTCACATTACATACTTTTTATTTAATAAAAGTTAAAAACAGGTACAAAAATGTGATTCCATTTCTTTAAAATATAGGCTCAAAATAAAAAGACTGAACAATATAGTTCAGGCAGTAAAGTGCAAAGACAGCAGCTATCCCAGTCATGCTTAATCCATAAATAACCCTTACACAGCAGGAAGGAGCAGAAAGAGCAAACAGAGCGGGCGCAGCCAGACCGCGGCTCAGCCATTCGCGCACATCCACAGGAGAGCAAGAGCGAGCGGCACGTCCCGGGCAGGGGTGGCGGGAGGCAGCGCGCACCTCGCCGGAGCGGGCTGCGAGGCATCGCAGGCCAGGTCAAACGAACAAAGAGGGAGCCGTCGCTTTCCCGCATCGTGACACACATACGCAACGCGCCCTTTTTGAAATTCCACGTTCTCCAGTCCACTGTTCCCCCCGCACGATGCAACAAACTGACACGACGACTTATTAAGTGATGACACTAGTTTCCAAACTGTTTTGCTCAGGTGAACACCATAAGTCCGTAAAAAAAAAAAAAAAAAAAAAGTACTACATTGGCTACTGGAGTGAGACAGGATGCTCTTCCCCCAGGTATAAGCATGCTAAAATGGCATCCAAAAGTCAAACTTGTTCTAAGGGCCTTCTCAGAGAAAAAAAATAAATTAAAAAAGAGCAGCAACGTCTCTTTCTTCACCACACGAATTTGGAAAACCGGGTATTGACACAGAACAGCAACACTGCAAGCACCCACTTTACCAGGAAGAGGGGTTTCAACCGAGCCCTTTGGGGAGCACAAAGCGAGGTTTGCACAGGCAGACACGCTCACCGGCGCATACGCTGCGGTCAGCGGGGTTACGGCGTGTCTTCAGCGAACAGGGTGTGGACACTTTGAAGATCAGGCACAAAAACTTTAGTACACTTCGCACAATACTCCAATTTAGTGCTGTTTGAAAACTTGTTACCATTAATTATAGCTATAGACTTAAGTGTAAAAAATAATGATATATTCTGCTTTCAGCTGAAACAGGTCTCCGCCGATTTCAGGGAAGCGCTAGCTGAGATCAGCAAGTCTGCACTTACATAGACGAGAACCGTGCTTTGCCCGCACCGAGAAGCAAGACCAGGATTTCAGAACAACAAAGCAGTGCGAGAGCGAGCGCATTCCTAGTTATCCACATCTTACACATCCAGGAAAAACAGTCCCCCTCAGTGCTCAACTAAGCTTCGGTGTAGAGGTGGCTGAAGGGAGAAGAGTCCAGAAGGAATAAACACTACAGAAATATTTCAATCCAGTAGGTGAGCCGGTTCCCAGCAAACAACACCTGGTGCTTCACAGCACAACAGCTCTGCTGTCAGCTCTGCTACAATACTTATGCACATCCTTCCGCACCACGGAAACCAAGCAGTCCGACTGTGCTACGGGCATTTTGTTTTATTACTCATACCATGCCGTTACAACACAGCACTCCTGCAGCCAGCGATTCCACTTCTTAGCCATATTTACACCTGGTGTAAAAGAAAATCCATTCAACAGGGAGAGTATCTCATTTAATAGAAAAGGGTGATTTTATACAAAGTACTGTGGAGCAGTATAAGGCCACATGAAGAGCATCATCAAGCTGACATGGTGGCTATTTCTTAAGTCAAGACACGATTAGTAGTTGCTCTGGTGCTTTGATACAGGTAAATGAAAGCCTTGAACAATTTCCTATAAGGTGCACAAGCATCCACGATACATAAAAAAACCTTAATTTTCTATTTCTCCTGTACTCAAAAAAAAAAAAAAATATAAGCAGAGACCCAGCTAATTATTCACAGGTTATCTTGCCATTTTTGCATTTTTCTGTAGATTTTGATATGCTGGTTTAGTAGGACTGAAAGTAAAGCATAATTTTTAGTGTCAAAGTTTCTAAACAGTGTTTGTGCTTCTACCTCCATCAGAGCAGTCTGGCTCCTCCAGACTTTGCTCCGGTGGAGTGTGGACTCAGGCATGCCCAGTATGTCAAACTTCTACTGAAAGTCACAACGGCTTCCATTTGCAAAAGGTATGGATTTACAAAACGTTGAGGATTTCAACACTTGTTTTCTGAAAGAAAGTCATTCTGGTTTGGTTTGTTTTAACAATGATGACACACTTTGATCTCAAACCTCCAATGTCACCTGCGTAAAGAGGGTGTAACAGCACCAGCCCATTGCAAGATCAGGATCTGCAAGTGTGAAAATCCCAACCACTATGAGTTATCAAATATTATGGGTTTATAAAATGCTCTGAATGCCATTCTTCAGGTTTACTGAAAAGGAGTTTCCAAAACTCTGGGTCTCATCCTGCACACCCCTACTAATGCAGGTCAAGTAATTTGCCTGCATATCAAGACCAAAATGAATAAATACAAAATATATTTGGTATAGAAAATACTAGTATAAAAATTAAAAATCACCCTGTTTTACTGTCCATCAAAATATTAACAGCAAGCATTACAAGTGACTTTTTTAACCTATTGCCAAAATCATTTCCAAAGAGTTCTGCTTTCCTGAAGTGCTGGTGATTGCATTTGCCCAAGTATTGAAAAAAAAAAAACAAAAAACAAATAGGGAAGGGACGAGGAAAGATATGATAGATTTCTCACATAGCATTATTAACAGAGGACCTAAACTGAAGGAAACTAAAGTATGCACAACACGGGGGAAAAAAGCCATTGTCAGTTCTGTTGAAGCCATCAGAGCTCTTCCTGATCTTCAGAAAGTTTGTAGAGAAGGTGCTTCCTCACACTAGCCCTGACAGACAGACGATGGCACAGGGATGAGCATACTCAGAGCACTGCCGCTTTTCGGTTTCTCTGCTGTGGCAATTCTGTTGAGTTTGCCAACCTCCGTCTGCCAGCTGGGAATCTTCTTTGTGGTCATATGGCGGCGGGTGTGCTTTGTCAAGTGATCACTGCGCATGAAGCGACGCTCACACACAGGACAAGCAAACTTCTTCTCTCCTGTGTGAGTTCTGCGGTGGCGTGACAGTTCATCTGAGCGGGCAAACTTCTTGTCACAGCCTTCCCAGTTGCAGCTGAAAGGCTTTTCTCCTGCAGGACATAAAAGAAGCATAACGTACTTTTGAGAAGCTGTGCTACAGTTTTATCAAAGAACTAACTTACATCCTGCCTTGCAAAAACTGATGAATTCCACAGAACTGCTCATGCGTGCAGTCAACATTAGCTTAAGTTGTGTTCCAAAGAAACACTGTATGTACTGTTTGTACTTATTCCCTCATAACTCTTCAAATGTTATTTAACTGAGTACTTTTTTCGGTTCTCCAAAACTCCAGTTATCCAAGATTCTTCATCTTTTTCTTCAAACTGGGTTTAAAGCTACCTTATCTGCTGACTGAACTAGAAGCACCCCCCTGCCCCCATCCCCAGCTCTACGGCTGCTGCGTGTCATCAGCAAACACTGCGGGCAAACTGGAAGCCTGGGATCAAGTCTCAGAGCCCTGCCGCTCCAGCGATCCAGCCCTGCGCACAAACACGCTGCCCCAGCGAGTACTACGGAGGAACGGCCTGTCCTGCCACCCCCATGCAGCTCGAGGTCCAACAGACAGCTAGGGGAGTTCTGCACGCCCAGGAATGACAGCAGTCAGGAAGGCTGTCCACGTCAGCTTCTGCTCGTCCTGGGCGACTGCTTAACGTCAAACCTATCCTAAGCAATGGGATCTACTGCCTGCAACCCCCGTAAAGCTCAAGATAAACATCTACCACATGACTCAAATTTATGGTAACATTTTGGAGCGGAACAAAAGTGTCCAGCAGAAAGGAAACACCACAGAAGCATTGTTCTTATTTCAGAGAGAGGAGAAAGTTCTCTGTCTGGTATGCATGATACCACCTAGCTGCTCAGCAAGGAGGACAAAAGTGGAAAGAGAACGCTAAAGTACTCTGCCCCTCGATCCCGTGAAGTGGACTGGCTAGTGAGCAGTCAGTGTGCTTCACCTCCCATAGACATCCTAGTCCTAATCACGATACAGGGAGACACACAGCTTCCCTATGGATTGGCAACAGCACACGCTGAAAGCGAGACACTTGCTGCTCATCTATGTTTATCCTGTAGTCCCAGGTAAATTCAGCAGCCTGCAGCACTCACTCTCAAGCCAGAAGCAGAAGCATCATCTACCTCTGAGCTCTGGTTTACAAGGATTATCAGCTTCATATGAGGTTTAAGCTCTTTCCTTAAAGGAACTGTAAAGACAAGCTGGCAAACTAATGCAAATCCTGTCACGGAAGCTGACATCCAATAAACCACAGTGTCTGTGGGGCAAGGGAGGGTGAGGGGAAAAAAGCCAAGGAAAAACAAAATTAGACAAACTTTTCAGTGAGCTATTCTGTACCAATCTCCCACTACACCGGTCCCTCAACATCAAAAACAGTCCCTGAGAACTCAAAGTTAGTGTTAACTTAAGAGGATCTTGGAGCTAGAAAAAGGATAAGTAAAACACATGTATACTGTCTCCACATCAACCAGATTTTAATGGAGAAAATGAGCTCAGATTCATTACAATTAATTTTCATTTGCCTTTCAAATTCCCTTTCTTTAACTGAATAAACTGCTACGTTCCTGTAGCAGCTCTACTTCCTAACACAGTATCCCAAAATCTCAATGCATTCTCATTTAGCCTTAAAAAACACTCTGGAAAAATGTGCAGCTTCTGACTTTCTCTCTTTTCTTTTACTCACGTAACAATTAAGACCAACTACCCATACTATGGTTTGCTTACACCAGACCTCTCCACACCCCAAAAAAAGGGACTTGCACAACTCATTTCGATCTAGTCCAGATGGCAGGGTTCCACGCAAATCTCAACACACACACACAGACGGCAAAGCTTCGCTCCAACTAAAGCACGTGAAATTCAACTAACACTAGGGGGTCAGCTGAGGTCTCAGAACAAAGTCTGTCTTGTTTTGTTTGCCCACAGAGAATGAACATTCCTCCCTTCTCTGAGATGAGCAGAAGTTTCCTGATCACCTACCTCTTCCCTTTCCTGCCCCCTCCCCCCAAAAATGTGCATTTCAGCACCCCAACACAAGCCAGTGCTGGAGCGAGAAAGGACCCGCCCTGTCGTACACACCAGTGTGGGTGCGAAGGTGGGCTTTCAGGTGGGAACTTTTGAAATAGGTTTTCTTGCACCCAGGGAAGTTGCAAACATAATTCCTCCGCCTAGAAAAGTCCATCTGGGGGGTGCAGCTTTGACCAGAAGCGATGAACACAGGAGCAGGAGCAAGGGGCAGTAACTTGGTGTTCCCAACAGTCATTACTGTTTGCGGGCACTGCGGTGTCTGCGTGACAGCAGTCTGTGGAAGAACCAACATGACGGTCCCCTGAGGCACAGAAGGTCCCATGAGTACAGGCTGAGAGAGCGGGGCTGTCTGTGGTAAAATAGGTTTCATGGGAGTTGAGACTGTTGGAGTTGAAGGCTTGACATAGGCATTGATCATACTGCTTTGTCCATTTAAGGGGATCATTTGACAGAGAAGCTGGGGGCTTGAAACGGGGGCAGGTGTCACTGGGGTAGCTCTTTTTTGCAAGTCATTCTCACAATTCTTTGGTAAGTGGGCCTGCGGCGAAACGGGCCGGACTGGTAGCTGTCCTTGATTGGTCACAATATCACTGGAGTCATGTGCACAAGGTTGATGTACCGGAGAGGTTTTGTTAATTAAATCATCTGCAGCACACGTGTCCTGTGGCAGTCTGGAATGTCTTCGGTCACCTGCTTCACACAAGTCTCTGGAAGTGCTGTAGCCTGAAGTTACCTTTGTTTTCTCTTGCACAGTGTAAGCAGAACTATCACCTGTGTGACGTATCACGCTTGTTGCCATGGCCCTGCAAGGCTGAGGGGCAAAGGATTCAGAAACCACTGGCTTCTGGCTGCACTGTCGCTCCATGTTGATAACAGATGGCTTGGGTACGGGAGAGGCACCGGTCGCTGATGTGACTGAGCAGGCAGCTGTACTTGCCATGACAGTCCTGGGTTTGGAGTAAGTGACTTGTGAGGAGAGGAGCATAGCGGCTGATATCTCAACAAAGTCAGGGCTGTGCGGAGGGGTCATGCACTGCAAAAAAAAGAAAACACCATTATACAGCAGTGTAATTTCATAGCACAGTTTTTCACTATCTTTACTGTGAAAAATACAATTACACCCCCTCCCCAGAATCTCAGAATCTGCCTCTTGGGACAAACTGATTAAAGGATACATTGCCTCATCTGATGGCCATTCTGAGTATGCTCAAAAACACATTAATAAAAGGAAGGCAATGAGGCAGATGTAAACCGGCATAAAACATTGCACATCTACTCACTGAGCTACAAAAAACTCTCGTTCCTTTCTCCTTAGCAATGGGTGCAGCTGTAAGAGGCTATGAGCGCTGTGCTGTTCACAGAAAACAGACTAGCAACAGACAGCGATACTGCACCATTTCAGTGTCAAGCTTCCAGCAAGCCCTAGATCTTTTGTCAATGATTACCCCATCAGCTGGTGGCTACTTCTGAGAAAAAGACAAATGGAACTGCTCTCTCCCTTCTTATTCATCCATTTCTCTCTACGCTCTCTTGCTGCCACCACCTCTCCTTCCTCCTTTACCACTGAAAACTCATGCCTATCTCCTGTGCTGCTCAAGGGACGGTGCCAACACTGAGCAGCAGGAGTACGAGACAAGTCCACCAACCAGCTGCCATATCGCCTCAGCCTCTTTACTATTCCCCTTTTTCCTGACATAACGGCATACTAGAAGCCTACTGGTTAAAATGGGCCTTAACCGTCTGAAACCCAAGTGGCACCAAGCCCTTTTTTAACACCTACTTTTGTTACAACATAAATTGCAACAAAAAAAATTGTGATTCAACCGACATTAGTCAGGCAGAGTAGACCAATGCTCTGGAGAAATAACAGACTACATGTACAAACACATAGCATAGAAACTAATTACATTGTCTATTTCATCACGGTAACCTGTACTTTCTCTTATAACGACCAGAGTGAAGCCAAATGTCATCAAAAGCCTTTTTCATATGGTGCTTGCAGATAAGTCGGTGCCGAATCACTGAGGCTCATTCTGCCATTCTTACTCAAAGTGCTCCACGAAACCTACAACAGCCACCCGGACAGCATCCTCAGCGCGCCTGTCAAATTAAATTTCCTGTCAGCAAGGGCTTTCGCTTCTAGGTTTAATAAGGGATCAAACTCCTACATTTGCCATTCCAGAGACAGCAGCAAAACCCAAACTCAACGTCCCCGCCTCACTGTTCTATGTACACACACATACACACAGCACTTAGCTATTCTACACAGGGACACACAAGCAAGCTATCTTTTCCAGCCAAGTTAAAACATTGCAGAGGTGCAACATCCAGATGTCGGGCATATTTATTTTGCCTTCATGTTTTTCTTACCAGTGTAGATAAATAGTCCTTTGGTAATTCAGACGTAGCCTCAGCATGCATTGTGAAATCACCAGAATCCGAGAAGGGCGTAAGTGGCCTTATCTTTAATATGTCACCTTTCTGCGATCTTTGACCCCAGGAGCTCATACAAACAAGCGCTTCAACGGCTTCAATGTCATTCTGCTCCAAGGTGCTGCAGGTAGACCTTTCGCTGTCATGACGCTGCCTTTCACGGATAGACTCATAGATGTCCACAATGTCAACCTAAAGGTAATCGGATTACTGGCTATTAGGACAAGTCAGAAAACAAAGCCGACACCACCCACATACTGTCTGCTCCCGATGAAGGTCATCTGAAACAGATGAAACAGCCCGCAGCAAGACTTTTACCAACCAGCTCAACTCTTACCCTCCCCCCACCAGCTCATCTCCCCACCCCTCCTACTCTTTAAAAAAAAAAACCCAAAAAGTGCAATTTGCAGGAAAGGAACAGGTATGTGTGTAGCTCACGTTTCCAGAGCTACTTTCCTGGATTACGTTGCTCTAAATAAAACACATCCTGTGCCTGCGTACAAGCAAAAAGAGGGAAAAAATCCTGACTTCCAACCTTGTTTAGACAAGGCTGTTTCCTGGACCCAAAAGACAACAGCTATTCAGCAGTAATCTCATTCTGGTAACATTTAGAAGATAAATTTCAGCTGACAGTAAGATGTTTTAAGGTATGATCACTGATTCAGAGTACCACACCTTGGAAAAGTATTTTAATCTTATTTTTACCAATAGGGAAACCAGGGTGGGGGGAAGGAAGGAAAATAGCCTTCAAAGTGCAGGGGGAGTTATTCGTATTGTAGTTTAGAAAGGTATGATACTACATAAATGCTAGGTATCCCAAAACGCACTATGAGCAACACGATGACAAACGTAATCATATTGATTTGCTTCCAACTGCAAGCATCACAGAAAATTTGTGTGTGCATGTGTACGCACGCATGCAAAACACTTGACTTCTCTGCGAAAGGACACCCAAACTTCATAAAGCTCTCTCAGTGCTTGGCAGTGATTCCAAAAGCCACATTGCGCTGTTGGTTCATCGCTCACGTGCTAGCTCAGTCTCAACTGGGTGTCCAAACTCTTCCAGTCGTTAGGCACACCAACTCACTGTTGGTGAGGCATGGACCAAGATTCTTGAGCCTAATGCTGTTGTGCAGGGTGCTTATATACTGCAGCAAAAGAATTTTAACTTTTAATTTTAACAAAACTTAATTTTAACTAAAAAAGCACCACCACACCGTTAGCGTGGCCTGAAGCCCTAGAGGGAACGACACTTGTTGGGGGACATCCCTTACACACCTAAGTCAGCAAGTTCTGTTACTGAGTTAAGCAACGTGGAATGATGCTGGCTCAACAGTGTCACAAAGATGCAAAGCTGTGCGACACCGTCTCCACTACAGGGACGTGCATGGCAAACACGTTACACGTAACGGATCCAAAATACCAGTACTGGACTCACAGAGGACTTTTGCCTAAAACAAGAGGTACCACGCATGGGGATGTCAAGGCTGGGGGCAGGAAGGGGTAAAGCACTCTACAACAGGGATCCAAGAGATTAACTGCCATGAGAGAGACTTCTAAGAATTTCCACTGAAAACAATGAGAACGAGGGAAAGAAAAAAAAATTTAAAAAATTACATCGCCTGCAAGCCTGGACCTAGACCACCTGTCAAACAGGAGCCACGGCAGGCGAGGCTCTGCACTCAGCAGCCAGAAAGCCTGTGAGTGTTCCTCGAAGTGTGATCGCAGGCAACCAAGCCAGCAGATCTTTTTTTCCAATCCTACGTTTTTAGAAGAGCAGTTTTCCCTAAAGAAACACGAAAAAATATTCCCTGCTTAAAAAAAAAAAAAGAACACACCTAAAAAAGCCTTTTCTGAGGGCGAGCGCTGCAGCCCAGTCCCTCCCGCTGCCAGGGAAATGGGTAACCGCGCCTGCCCGCCTGTCCTCGCATCCCCCCGCCCGCTGCCGGGGCCGGCCGT